CCCAGATATCACACTGCACCATTTTCCACAGCGATTAGCATCAACACTGGTCGCTGTATATGAAATTACATACCAGGCATTCCTTATACTGAGCATCAGCAGGGGCCCGGATTCATACAAAAACTCATAATTCTTGCATATTTTATAATAATAGAATGTTATTAATTTCCTACACTAACAAAATGTGCCATGGTATTACCATGGGTGTTTTGGACATGGTGCCATACAGAACCACGTACTCTACCATTCATAAATTTTTATTTTTATTTATTTTTGAAATATAAAGGGATCAAAAGTGACAGTGAGTGTAACATTGTTACAAAATATTTCTATTTCAAATTAATACTATTCTTTTGAGCTTTCTATTCATCAAATATATATGTCAAATAAAAAAAGTGTCTTTAGAATGATTAATTGTGTCCATTCAATGCTTTCATCTGCCACAGTAATGCATTTGAATTATTCTGCTTTTTTGCTTTCAACAAACATTGATATATTCAGTTAATAATAAGCATACCATGTAATTAATTTGTAAAAAAAAAAAAGTTAAACAAATGACAGCCGTAGTTCTAGTCGTATATTGTAAATGAGTGCAAAAGCAAATTGTTTCAAAGAAAAAATATATGTTGTATTAAAAGGTAATAATTTGCTCCACTTCTAAAATGACTTTCCTTTTCAGCTCACATCATCCTGATTCACTCGGAAATACAAAACATTACATTATATTAGATTTTTCGATACATATCGATACTGACATATTTGAAACGCTTCCAATACTAATTTTTCCGCAAAATAGATATATGATACCAGCTGCGCTTTCTCTCTCTCTCTTTCCGACAGCAAGTAGACACACAAACCAGCCTCCCTTCACTCACTCGTTTAATTCGCTCCGGATGAATATTGTTTCTGTTACAGGGATTGAATTTCGGAATTTTAATTTTAATAATTTTACTCATTCCCACAAATTTTTGGCTCACACCCAAAATATTGGCAAGTATTCAAGTAAACACACTCAGTTATGTTTTAAGTGAACGTAAACAGTCGAGAAAAAAAGCGTGTGCATTCGGTGTTTAAGTGACAGCAGCCTATTAATCCTGCTGTCAAATTGTGGGATAACATTAAAAAATATCTATGCAGTTTTTCCCCATGGTATCAATGTCAAAATTCAGTGGCTAGTAACTTTGGAAAACCACTAGTCACAGTGGCTGGTGAGAAAAAAAAGTTCATGTCAAGCCCTGATTACATTTGGCATGGTGCTAAATACGAAGTGACTTGCAAGCACATTCAGTGGATGCATTTTATCAATACCAGTGTTTCCTTAGAATTGAGCTAACAACCTTTGTGTTGCTAGAGCAATGCTCTACCAGAACATGATGGAAGTAAAATGGGTTTGGCATTTCATTTAATTTCTTTAGTGTTCCATCAGTGTTTTGTATAGACAACATGGATGGGATTTGGATGGGGGAAAAAAGCCAAGGACACAATAGATGTTATGAATGTTTTACTGAGCATGTGTATCTATAGGGAAAGAGAGATACTCGTCCGTTTTATCTGGGCCAGGTCATGCATGTATATGTTAGTAAGATGTTTGCTGGAGGCAATCCTCCGGGGTGATGTTTTACTTAGCCATTCATAAGGCTGTTGATCCAGGGCGTTCACAGAACGCAGACATGGCTTTAAGTGTTATTATATCTGGTTGCTGATTCTCTATCACTCTCTGTGCTGTTCCTCACACAGGCGTTATAAGGGCTCTTTACAAGCTCTAAATGATGTTTTCTTCTTCACATTTCCACAGGCTTTCAAATAAATTCCTGGCTAAAAAGGCACAATGTTTTGAGCTGTATATTATTAGGGTGCTTTCTATTGGTGGATTGCGTTTTTTCTGTGTGATTGCAAACGAAAACTTTGCTGCAAACAGAAGAATGTCATATTGCTGTTGATGTATAAACACAAAGTTTGAAGATTAAAGGCACAGTATGTAAGTTTCGCCGCTAGATCGCTTATTCAAAACAATGACAAAGGCGTAGCTTGATGACGCCATGAATGAGCGTGGAATCAATGCGAGGTGTCGTCTTCACCTACACAGCCGATGGAAAGCAATCCGACGGGACTCAGGCAGAAATCATGTTCATGGATGAGCTAATGTTTTCAAGTTTCATTAATGTTACTGTGGTATGAAGCAGGGCGGAGCCGGTGAAGCGAATGCTAGTGAGAGACACCTGCATGACACGCCGGTCTCGAGTCCCATGGATTGACGACAGTGAAGGACGAGAGGTCCAGACCTGGGACATTTAACGTTGCTGTTTTAATTATGCTTATATGCCACAGTCGGCCGCTGCCGCTCCTTTCTTTAAGTTGTATATGTCTATGTCATTAAAGTTACATTTAACGTTTGCAGGTTCCCGTCTCCTTCCTCCCTGAACATGAACTTTGTTACAGTTACGTTTGACCATTAAAATTCGCATTATTTTTATTTATTTCTAATGAAATAGCTGCAAGTGCTAAAGGTCACTTTATTTGACGATTTAAAATTGTGGGTAATGCAGCACTTGGTCAAAACAATCATACTAAAATTATGTTTGAGTGTATTGAAAGTTATAACACTGTGCTTTCGCTTGGTAGCTGGTATGAGACACTTGATGCACATTGCAGTAAGCTAGAGGATATTAGAATATCATATTAATTAAAGATTGTGCTGCTAAATGGAAGTGCAGATTCACCACTCGTTGTGTCACTTGGGTTGTCTGTTTGTGGTTGTGGTTTATTCAGTGAGTCATTAAATCATTTACTCAACCGATTCATTCAAAAACATTGATTAGTTCAGGAACAAACAAGTGACTTTTGTTATTAATGAGTCACTGAAAATTGTATTCAGCTAATTTGTTGAAAACACTGATTTATTCAGGAACAAAATAAGTCATATTCAAATGTTTTAACATTTATTTAGCCAACACGACTTATAAATGGGTATAATACATAGTAATAAGACATGAAAATGAGATGTAATTGAATTATTCACTCAACTCGTTCACATTCAGGAAAGAATCACCAGTGTTGCTTGTAGACATGTCGTTGATTTTGCTTTGATTTCATTTCAAACTATTTTCGTTTGTGGGCAAAAATATTGCAAAGTAACTGCCATTATTGTGTCTGAAATATAAGTTACTCAATATTAACTTCTTGTTAAACGAAATGTTTTGAGTATTTACAGTATAGCAGCAACTTTCTTGCTTGTGTGATATTGCGTAAACAGTCAACTGATGTCTATATAAGAAATTATCCAGCATGCTTAGCCTGTATGTATTTCTACCTGTATTATGTATATATATATATATATATATATATATATATATATATACACTCACCTAAAGGATTATTAGGAACAGCTGTTCAATTTTTCATTAATGCAATTATCTAATCAACCAATCACATGGCAGTTGCTTCAATGCATTTAGGGGTGTGGTCCTGGTCAAGACAATCTCCTGAACTCCAAACTGAATGTCAGAATGGGAAAGAAAGGTGATTTAAGCAATTTTGAGCGTGGCATGGTTGTTGGTGCCAGATGGGCCGGTCTGAGTATTTCATAATCTGCTCAGTTACTGGGATTTTCACGCACAACCATTTCTAGGGTTTACAAAGAATGGTGTGAAAAGGGAAAAACATCCAGTATGCGGCAGTCCTGTGGGCGAAAATGCCTTGTTGATGCTAGAGGTCAGAGGAGAATGGGCCGACTGATTCAAGCTGATAGAAGAGCAACTTTGACTGAAATAACCACTCGTTACAACCGAGGTATGCAGCAAAGCATTTGTGAAGCCACAACACGCACAACCTTGAGGTGGATGGGCTACAACAGCAGAAGACAACACCGGGTACCACTCATCTCCACTACAAATAGGAAAAAGAGGCTACAATTTGCAAGAGCTCACCAAAATTGGACAGTTGAAGACTGGAAAAATGTTGCCTGGTCTGATGAGTCTCGATTTCTGTTGAGACATTCAGATGGTAGAGTCAGAATTTGGCGTAAACAGAATGAGAACATGGATCCATCATGCCTTGTTACCACTGTGCAGGCTGGTGGTGGTGGTGTAATGGTGTGGGGGATGTTTTCTTGGCACACTTTAGGCCCCTTAGTGCCAATTGGGCATCGTTTAAATGCCACGGCCTACCTGAGCATTGTTTCTGACCATGTCCATCCCTTTATGGCCACCATGTACCCATCCTCTGATGGCTACTTCCAGCAGGATAATGCACCATGTCACAAAGCTCGAATCATTTCAAATTGGTTGCTTGAACATGACAATGAGTTCACTGTACTAAAATGGCCCCCACAGTCACCAGATCTCAACCCAATAGAGCATCTTTGGGATGTGGAGGAACGGGAGCTTCGTGCCCTGGATGTGCATCCCACAAATCTCCATCAACTGCAAGATGCTATCCTATCAATATGGGCCAACATTTCTAAAGAATGCTTTTAGCACCTTGTTGAATCAATGCCACGTAGAATTAAGGCAGTTCTGAAGGCGAAAGGGGGTCAAACACAGTATTAGTATGGTGTTCCTAATAATCCTTTAGGTGAGTGTATATATGAAGACTTCAGAGGCAAAAGCCTCTAAGTCCGTCTACATTTTTTGTTTAATATTAACATTTTTATCAGGCTCCTACCCAAATACCGACATTTCTGAATGAGCTGAGGCTGGGATTTAGTGAGTTTGAAGTGAAAGTATTTGATGAACGTATACTATGTGCAGAGAGCATTCACTCAATATTATTATCTCATTTTAGACAGAGGTGGCTTTTAGAGGCTTTTGCATTGCAGGTCTTCATATATATATATATATATATATATATATATATATATATATAAAGCCTCTGACTCATGTCTATATACAATCTTGAGTAACACTTAATAATCATAATGCATGATATACTAAATGATGTACCTATAGAGTACTGTATATGCAACATTAGCTTGATAGGTCTTCATGTGACTGTTTTGGCAGGTCAGAAGGAGGTAAACGCCACTGGGAGGTCATTCACGGTCAGGAGTAGCGTACACCTCAAGGTGGACCGGAAGGACGACGGAGCAGCGTACACCTGCGTGGTGGAGCACATATCTCTGGGCTCTATGCCGCACCAGGTCACAGAAGTGCTGGAGGTCCACTGTGAGTCATATTTTTGGATCAGTTTCCCTCCTGACTTTAGTTTAACCGAAACTGCTATTAGATCATAAAAACGGGACGCCTGCCAGCACCAGTTTAAAGCGTGGCAGAGCCTGTGTTATTTGTACAGTAACTGCAAATTAGCAATGTTTTGGAGTAGTGTAACAGTAGCTCAGTAACATGGTTTCAAAATATAGGGTAACTTTTCCATTAACAAGCTATTTAACAAAAAAGTGGTGTGGTGTGACAAAACGCTAGTATTTTACAATGTCTCATATAATGTATATTTATAATATTTATAATAACGTTTTTTTTATTTTGTGGTTTTGTTTTGATCATGTTTTTTGTTTTGTTTTTGTTGTCTTGTTTTTTGTTTTGTTTTTTTATTTTGTGTTTTGTTTTTGTTGTGTCTTGTGTTTTTCTTTCGTTTTGTGTTTTTGTTTTTGTGTGTCTTGTGTTTTTTTTTTATTTGTGTTTTGTCTTTTTGTTTTTGTGTCTCGGTTTGTTTTTGTCTTGGTTTGTTTTGTGTTTTTTTGTTTTTGTTGTGTCTTGTGTTTTTTGTGTTTTGCTTTGTGTTTTTTGTTGTGTCTTGTTTTGTTTTTGTTGTGTCTTGTGTTTTGTTTTGTGTTTTTGTTGTGCCTTGTGTTTTTTTGTTTTGTCAATCCAGATCCTCCTCAGGTTCAGATTGTGCACTCAGTAATAGTACCTCAGGAAGGACAGTACTTCAAACTGGAGTGTGTATCCAAAGGCAACCCACTGTAAGTGCAGCTTTCTTTTAATCACCAATGTGAACTTTGTTTGAATATGATTTGTCTGAATAGGATATGAAGTTAAACTAGCAGAATCATCACGTCTCAAGGCGACCCTTATTTGCATGCCAAGAACAAAAAGCAATAATATTAAATCAAATTGTGATATTTGGGAGAGATTTAGTGAGTCATATAATCGTCTACAGACAGTTGTAACTCTTTTAGTGTGACCTTTCTGAGGTAGAGGACAAAAACGTAAAACGTTCCTTGAGCGGAAATGATAACAAAATGAGAGAAAAATCTTTTCTGTCACCAGCCTACTAAACCCATGGCCTAAAAAGATTACAGGTGCTCAGAATTTTTCATGTTATATATTTACAATGGAAGTACAATAGGGGGGCATTTACATTGATGCATTCTTGCGTTAAAAATAGTTTGACTGAGTGCAACGAAAGGAACTTGAACATAGATTTTTTTTTTTTTTATGTACTCAACAATAATTCATTTCTAACAAAAAAATGAAATAAGAAATCCAGTGTAGTGTACCTTTTCCTGTACACTAGGGAGAAAAAAATCTACATAAACTAGCATAGCACATTTTCTGGCAGTATGTCCTGATTTCAAATTAAAACCATATGGAAAGCATGGAGTTTCTTGGTGTCTGAAATGCAACAAGATGCTCAACTGACACCCACTTGGCATGCAGTGTCATTTTCATGACGGACAAGTGACCAGCTACTGTCACAGTTCTCGATCTTTACATTTCTAAAGCCTCAGGCTAAATCATTCTGTTGTTTTTAGGCCTGAGCCAGTTTTCTGGACGAAAGATGGAGGTGAGCTTCCTGATGTTGAACGAATGATCGTGGAGGGTAGAGATCTAATCATTACCACACTGAACAAAACAGACAACGGCACATACCGCTGTGAGGCCAGCAACATCCTCGGCACCAACAGGGATGAATTTACACTGTATGTGTATGGTAAGTACTTCTGGGCCAACATAACATCTGGAGGGCAATAAATCCATAAGTTTGTTTTATATTCTCATGTTATGTTCTCATTATTTATTTTATTTGTGAAAGTTCATGTTAATATCCATCGTAATCTGCATCAAAACACACATACGCACTCAGTGAACTCCTCCTGGTCTAGTTTACCAGTGTTTTTGTGTGTTGGGGGTATACAGCAGAAACTGCTGGTGGCTGCAGTATTTGCCACCAAAGTGAGACGGAGCCAGAAATGATAAGTTGGTTTTCCAAAACAGGAAGTAAAGCAAGAGAAGAACACACAATTAAGGGTCCACTGCTAATGCGGATAACATTTGTCAAGCTAAAATTGGAAGGAAGATACAGAGCGCCTTGGACAGAGACGGATTTGTAGCATCGCTTTTTAATAGGCCCAACAGCAATCTTTGAGGGAAATCATTTGGAAGGTACACATTTTTTTTGTTCGAAAAGCAAAGACGTGGGATTTGTCACAACAGGAGGGTCCTTTATGGACGGACGCCTTTTGAAAGTTGAGCCCACAACTCTCCATGCCTTTCCGTTGCCCTAGATTTTATTTGGCCACATTAACAAGACATACAAAATAAATATCTTCACTAGTGTAGAAGCTCTACAACTAAATTTAGGTTAAACCAAGAAGATCTATAATACCTGGATAAAGTTATTTGCTAGCATAATGATGTATTACCGACATGCTAGCCAAAAATATATATTATTAAACTTATTTGCACAGCTACTTTTGAATGGTTGTCAATGGAAAACAACACTTTTAGTTACATCATTTACTAGCAAAGACTAACCGAACTATAACCAGTCAAACCTTGACCTGCAGGTTAAAGAAATAAGAGGAAGCAAGAAACAGACAGGTGTAGAAAGAGAAAGAGGGAGAATCTCATTCACAACTCATTACCTCTGCTTCTAATCCATCTAGATGTCTGACTTCACCCGAGTGATATTTATTAAGCCCTTCGTCTCAGGATGAGTTGTCCGACTCGGCTCTCGAATGAACCTAATTTGCTAATGGTACGACTGCCAAGTAGCAATAAATGTCAGTTGAAATCACACAGTCTATATTCATCTCCAGTTACCGTTTTAATTTACATTTATTTATGTGTCTGTTGGCAGGTACACTTTATTTTTCCAAGGACAGATAGAAATGTGAATGTCTGGTGTTTAGGAAAGGAAATTAATGAAAAACAGGATGGTAAATTTTGTTTTTTTAGTTTTCTGTTAAGTAGGATGGCAAATTGGGCCGTGATATTTAACATTACTTAGGTTTGTTTACTATAGAAATAGAATTAGTATCATAAGGAATTTAATGATTCCGATTTCACTCAACTAGACTGTAGAAAAAGTTGCTGCACTTAAATTTAAGTACAATCAACTTGGATGTTTAAGTCATTTCAACCTAAATTGCATTAAACTGACTTTAAAAAGTTTAATCTTGTATAACTTGTAAAAAAAAAGTTGTAAATTGCTAACTTATTTCGATGAGTTAAAGCAATATTAAAATAATCTGTTTTAACTTATCGGTATATTTTTTACAGTGTATTATTGACTAACCCTTGTGCAAAAAAAAAAAACCCTTTTAGTGTATTTAAAAAAAAAACTGTACTTGCAGATATTTTAATATTAATGAAATAAAAAGCTACTTAGGTGTACTTAAAGTCCATATGTGGCCAGTTTCCGGCTAGATATTCACACATACATTTGGGTCCAGAAAGGCCCTTCAATGTATAACACTGAGAGCGAAAGAAAAGGGTCTTTCACTCTCAGTGTTATACATTCGAACATATTATGAATAACAGATGTTGCCAGTACATTCTTTCAGGACAAAGGAATCCTATACTGTATGCATATATGTAAGCCTTGGACTATGCTGAGATTTAAGATGGTTAAACTAGAACTTCTAAAGCCCCGTACACACCGGGACGAATATCGGCGCGCGTTATGCGCCAGCGTTTTTCAATGCGTTTTTTGTGTTCACACCCAAGCGATTTTCGCTGACGATGAGCCGAGTGAACATGCAAATTCATTCCCTGACATTAGATGGCGCTTAATGTAAAACAGAAATAGTCCTATTTTGTAGTCGCTGTCGCGTTTGTCATAGTTCTTTATGTTCCGACACCAACGAGACCAGCAGCTCTACATTCATCTTGTCTTGCATCTTCCTCGTCTTATTTCTTCCCGGCAGTGAAGACGCTACTTGGCGTATATCTTCTTCGCCGTTACGTATGTGTGCTCGGCAAGACCGTTTTGTGTTTGAGCGCCCCCAAGTTGAGTTTTACTGTAACTTCAGAAGCTCCAGACACGTGAGCAAAAGCGTCAATCTCATTGGTCGGATAGTTTTTGACGAGGCGCGTCAAACCAAAAAAACGAACCCGAGGCGTTTTTTAAAAAATGACGCTTTTTTTCGTGTCGGTGTGCACACCGAATCACATTGGCGCCCTTTGTTTAGTCACGAGGCGTTAAACGTCGGCGAATATCGCGCGCGAAATTCGTCCCGGTGTGAACAGGCCTTTACACTTACTTTTTGTGTTAAGTGCACTTTGTGGTAGTCAAATAAAAAAATTTATTTTAAAGTAATTTTAAATAATTTCGTTTTAATAATCTTTTGTTGCACTTTAAGTACACTTATTTCTATGTGTTGACTAACAGTATTTGTAAGTAATTTTTAACTGTAGTGTGTTATTCAATGTTACATTTTAAGTTTTGAAACATTGCTACATTGCAACTTCATCATTACAAGTGTGTAATTCTAAATAAATTTAAATACATGACATACAAAGTTTCGATAGAAATGACATTAAGGTATGTTTTAGTTCAGTACATTCGGCAAAACACTTTAAACATATTTCAAAGATAGAAATATTTATGAAATTACATATAAAGACAAGTCCTACTTAAGCGAGTCAAAAAAATCATTATAAATTTCAGCTAATTGCATTTAATATAAATTTTAATTATAATGCATTTTCATTTAATTACAGTTAACATGCAATTAATTGGACAGAAACATTACATTCAGTTTGCACTTAAGTAAATATTTATTTTTTAAGTATATTGTTTCTATAATATGTACTCTTTCTAAAAGTATGCTAGCCCTACTTCTTTTTCACAATGAGCGAATAATTGATTGAAACTACAATACATTTTATACTAAACCAAAACAATACTATTATTTTTTTAATATAAGTGCCATTTAGTAACTCGGTTCTGAATGTCTAGATTTAAAACTGTAACGTGTATAATTTTTGTACCACTAGGAACATCAATCAGGAGAAATCGGCCATTGGCCGGAGAAACTGTTAGCCCCGCCCCCAAACTCACACCATTGGTTTGAGCCAGTGCCACTATGTTGGGCTGCATATTTAAATATACACATCCGCAACAGATTTTTACAGATTTGTTGTAATAAATTCTATTAAATAAATAAAATAAATTGACAAAGTAGTATTATATTAGTTTTGCAAGTTATGCCCAATTTAGGGGCAGGTGGGGAGAGGGATATGATAAGATGGTAAAATAAGATTAACAAATACATCCATGCACTGACTAAAATCTCATGACAATTTCAACTCAGAAAGAGAAATTGAGGATTTTCTTGTAAAACTTACTTCAGTTATCTGCTTTGAAAAATCCTTTTTACAGTGTAGCTCTATATACTGTAGTCATCAGAGCTGTGGCATATATTCGCTACCCTCAAAACACTCTCTTGACCATCCTGTTGTATAAACGAATCAAAAAGCCCAAAAGACAAAACTGAAACCAGCATATATTCATGTCCAGTCAGCAGCAGTAGACATTTTCTAGAAAGACAAGCATGAGCTAGAAAACAGCAGTGTCCACAGACAATCCAATTGCTCCTCTAGATGTGAAAATCCATGTATTGGTCCGCACGCTCCTATATGCGAGTGTTATCGAGCCGTTGAGAGACCTGTGACATCTCTCCTGCAGGTGTAATGTACCCAGCAGAAGGTCTGAGCAGACGAGACTCCCTCTGGCTACTCTGAGCCTGAGTTCTCCTCTGACTTTTAAATGAGCATCAGGATTTATGTCCCATGGGTTTAATCCAGCGCTTGCTTGGAACTGTAAAATATTTATTGCTTGCTTTCTATAATCAGCATGTGTTCGCTACCAACCCCCTCTCAATTAAAACCATGAGAACAGATGAAAAAGAGTTTTGTTTACTTGCTCTGAAAAGCGTGCAAACATCCATAAAATTGACGTCTTTTCAGAAGTGCGTCCTGCAAGAGATGAAATGCTTCCAGAGGCACTTGTGAGGCAATTTGACCCTAAACGAAGTACTTGCCAAATAGCTTGAAACTGCTGAGTTGTGTTTATACTTCTTTTAACTTTTTCCTCCTCTTCAGTCTTAGGTCTTATTTAAAGAGCTAATTATTTATCTGTAATTTGTTCGGGAGACATGTTAAAGCAAGGGCGTGGGTGGCCAGAGACTGATCAAAGCAGCCCGCGTTTACAGTTCAGGCTGAGGAAACTAGCAAGTGGTCCCGTTTCTGATGCATTAAACATTACAGAACCAGAAGAGGAGCCTTTACCAACTAGAAAAATAGAAAATAAACATGTAAATAGAGCTGTTTTTGCATAGTTTTGGACATGGTGATCTGTACAACAAGGCAAATGGGGCAAATCCAGGTCATATTTCACACTGAATTTTTGTTTTGTTTTTAAATTATGCTAAATTAAATCAGTTAGTCAGAAACTTGTGATAAACCTCCACAGACTGTCCCAAAAAGAGACTACCTCTAGAAACGTATATTTTAAATGTGTCAAATGCTTTAAATGTACGCATATGGGCTTTCAGAGAAGTACAAGCTAAGATAGTAGAAGTAAATAAAGTGCCTTTTTACAGAAAGAAGACAAGATGACAGGCTATGTGCTTCACAACAATACAGTACCTGCATAAATTAATATAATTATAATTTACTCCTGAGATGCACCAAACAGTAAACATG